TTTTTTAATTAAACTATTCTAAACTTATCAAAGATTTTTAATCTTGTGGTGTTCAACCCTTCCAACCTTGGTTCTTGATTCAAAAAATCATTAGGTCAATATATAGCTATGATTTTAGCTTTCTTGGGGTTCATATCAAATCTTGCTTCGGTTCCAGGGCACATACTACAACATCAGTTGGTATTAGAGCTTTGGCTCTAGAAGAGGTCACAAAAATTCAGAAAAAACAACGAAGAAAATTCTAGAAAAAGCTAAAAAAAAATTCAAAAAAAAAAAAAAAAAGCACAATTATATTGTTATGGATAAAAATAGTCATTAAACATTTTCTCAATCTAAGAACCTAGTGTTAACATCAAAATTCATTAATTGCTTTCCAGAAAATGATATACTGAAGTATTCAGCAAATTATTATTAATCAAATCACAACTGTAACAAAAACATGAGCCCTTACATTTGGTAATCTTTATCTTAAAAGTAAGGGTAATTTTCACTAAGATATCATTAAAATTTATTTGTTTACATCTAAAATATTAAGTGTGAAAGATCAATTATATGATAGATATAAAAAGCAATGAATTTTGTGCTAACAAGTTTATCAGTTTGAAGAAATTATATTTAGTACTATCTAGCTGTCTAGTTTAGATAATAATTAGATTTTGATAAAAATTGATGGACTGGGTGGTTGAACTTTAAGAGTTGTAGATCCCATAAAACGATATCAAAATTAAATGTTGATTTTGATTGAATTTTAATCCACCTTTTTCATTATACCAAAAAAGGCTAAAAGTTAAGTTCGTCGATTTAAGATGAGATTTTTGTAAACGATATGGCAACCAAACATCAAGTGGTCCGTGTTTGTTTAAATGTGAAAGAAATGTTTATATTGGAGGTCGAAGATTAAGCCTCCGCAAGTCGAGGAAAAACTTCAATTGGATGATCTTATATGTATACATTGTAGAACCAATCATTTAAATCTTGACATATAGGCAGCCAACGTGGTAGAGACAGAAACAAAGTGAACATGTTTAATGTAGATTTTGTAAAAATTAAAATGTAATATTTTTGAAGAAATTTGAGGTTAAAAATAGAGAAACTTAATTAGTACAAGGAAGAAATGTAAGGGCCTGCTTTTTGAAGGTATTTTGTTGTAAATGGAAAGGTGGAGAAATTTTGGGTCATTTTTCCAAGTTTGGCAAGTGGGATAGTGTTGGACTTAGTATTTTTAATGTTACTAAATAAAAGAAGATTTGGAGAATATGGTTTTGATGACCGTTTGACATATTCAGAGCTTGTTTGGGCTCGATTTTTTCACCCAAAAAATTGATTTTTTTACTGTTATTTCACTATTCCAGCCGTCATATTTAACTTCTTCTCTCACAGGTGGACTCCACTTTTCTCCTAACGGTCAGAAAATCAATTTTCAAAATCACTCCCAAACAGGCTCTCAATTGTATTATGGGAAACTAGAATAGTAAATGGCAAACATTTTGTCTTCGTATTATGAGACTAGAATAGTATATGGCAAAGATTTTGTTTTCATATTAATAGGTTAGAGGGAATGTTTATTCACATGCATACCACTAGAAGGTCATTTTAGGCATCGATGCAGATACACGTGGTACACAGGAACGAACATTTACATTGTTAGGACACGTTTTATGTAAACTTATAGGAACTCCCATTTAAAGAGTGAGAAAGAGTACTTCTCCATTATAGTTAAAACCTTAAGCGGCAAATCGATTGAACTCCAGGGGTGGACCCATTACAGGTCTAGTGGGGGCAGTTTTAGCAATAATATTGTATGTACATTTGGGTTGACATCCTGAATGACATTCCACACACATGGAGGTGGGGCCATGATTATTTTATTGGGCTCGAGCCTCAACCCCATGTGTGTGGAGTGTCGTCTGAGGTGTCAATTCGAATGTACACATAGCAGAATCGTAATTTTAGACATTGTAAAAAAGCTCGCATAACTTTATCCTATAATTACTTTTTACATAATTCGTCCACACTGAATCGTAATCCTGGGTACGTCCTTGCTCAACTCTCACATTAATAGGGATGACAATTTGAACCGTTAAAATCGAAAATCGCGGTTAAACGAACCGAATGGGGCGAAAAAAATCGAACCGATGGTGCAATGGAGCGAATATGATATTTGAATTTAATGAACTAGCTCGTGACGATTCGGGTATGGTATTTATGCTGTCGAACCGAAACCGAATCGATTACCCGCTTAAAAAAACATTCTTTTATTAGAGATGGTAAGGTTTAGTGAGGAGGAAGTTGACAAAGAGATACATTTTTTTTTTAATTTAAATCTTAGTTAAAACCATTCTGGATTAGGTAGTGTCGTTGTATTCTCTACTTATATTTCTTATTTACTATATAGGAATCAATTTTAAGTGCTAGCCTATGCTAATAAGAGTTGTGGGGAAGAATGAAAATTGAATATGAGTTAAGCCTGAAGCTTTTGAATTATTGAGCATGAATCAAGTAACTACAATGTACAAGAATCAAGAATGAAGGAAAAGTTTAGTATTGTTATATTCATAATATTGTTTGTTAAATTTGTATTTTGTAACTGAAATTTGGGATAATATTTGCATTTTCGTTTGGAATATTGTGTTTTTGTTTTCAGCGACTCTCTTTTCGTTTCATAAATTATTTTATATCAATTTGACGGATGGATCTATAAAAAATCATTTAGTTTTGTGGTTATTAACCGAACCGAACCGAGATACGAATCGAACCAATTTACGTGATTATGGTACGGTTATGGTATGTCAAAAAATTTGATGGTTCGATGATGATTTTGGCCTAATCGAACCGTTGCCATCCCTACACATTAAGGATGAACATCTGTGCATTTGCTTTGCACGGTTCGTTCTCTATATTACTATGTGTTAATTTGTCTTATACAACGGTTTACATGTTTTTGCATTAAATTGAGAATTTCGTCACCGACTCCATCCGAATTTACAGGTGGGTCATCGAACATACCAAAACCGGAAGATTACAAGGCCTAACTGATGTGTTCCAGCCGCATATTAATCAAGTTTCTTCTAGCTTCTTCCAGCCGAAATTGTTGAATTTCATTTTCTTAATGTAGAAGAATCCACATGTATGGATGAAGAAGAAAATTTGAATTAAAACTCTCCACCTTTTGACGGCCACAACTTCAATTGCTTAATGGAGAAGAAATCTATGCAAGAAGACAATTTGAAATAAAATTCTCTAGCCGCAATTCTTGATTGGTTTTTGACCACAAGTTTATGACGATTTGTAGCCAAGATTTTTCTATAAATATGAGCTACCATAAAGAGAATTAGTATGTCCCTTGAGAGGAAGAAAAATAGGATAGAGAAGAGAGAAAAAAGAGAGAGATTAGAGAGACTCTTTTGAGAGGTTTTTTTTTTAGTTTGTAAACTCCGTTGTAAATTCTATTCAAGTAGAAATAGAATTGTTTTTCCTCTTTTATTCTCTTCTCGTGATCGGAGGATCACAACAAGTGGTATCAGAGCTTGGTTCATCAATTAACCTTCGTAGTTTTTGATAAAGCTTTTGCAAGTCAAGATGTCAATGGAGGAATCTTCATCAGGAGCTATGATCAAACTCACTGCTACCAATTACATATTGTGGAGGCCTCGAATGGAAGACCTCCTTAGTTGTAAGGATTTGTATGACCCCTTGGAAGCCAAATGTGAAAACCCCGATCCTACCAAGGAAGCGGAGTGGAAGAAGCTAAATAGAAAAACTATCGGTCAAATTCAACAATGGATTGACCATAGTGTTTCTCACCATGTAGCACAGGAGACAGATGCATATGCTCTCTGGAAGATTTTGGAGGACATGTACCAAGCCAAGACCGCTCGAAACAAAGCCCTGTTGATGAGGCGTTTGGTGAATCTAAAGTTAAAGAGTGGAACTTCAGTTGCTGAGCACACCAGTGAATTTCAGAGCTTGGTAAACAAATTGTCATCTGTGGAGATGCTGCATGGGGATGAAATACAAGCCTTACTATTTTTAAGTTCTCTTCCTGATAGTTGGGAGATATTAGTAATATCTCTTAGCAACTCAGCCCCTGATGGCAAACTTACCATGTCTATGGTTAAGGATGCCCTATTTAATGAAGAGGGCAAGAGAAAAGACGTAGACACGGACCAATCACATGCCCTTGTCACAGTGAACCAAGGAAGACAACGAGGAGGCGTTCGAGGCAGGGGGAGAGGTAGAAGCAAAAGTAGGGATAGATCCATAGATGGAAGGAAGCCTACTTATAAGTGCTACTATTGTGGTATGGAGGGCCACTTGAAGAAGAACTGCAGAAAATTGCTACGAGAGCAAGGCCACAATAGTTTGCAGCCGAAAAATAAAGAAGGAGAGGCACTAGTCACTATTTCCGGAGAGGTGGCTATTTGCTCCATCCATGAGGAGACATGTCTTCAAGTCTCAAACCAAGATATTGAGTGGGTAATAGACACTGCAACCTCTTATCACGCTACTCCACGCAAAGATTTCGTCACAACCTACAAAGACAGCGACTTTGGTGCAGTGAAGATGGGAAATACCAGTTCTTCTAAGATCGTAGGAATTGGTGATGTTCAGATACAAACGAACCTCGGGTGTAAAATAACCCTAAAGGATGTTCGACATGTACCTGATCTTCGGCTAAATCTACTTTCAGGGATAGCCC